ATATTCATTGGCATCGACCAGCATTCTACAATGAGTATGTGTTACATTCAGTGGCATTGACCAAGACGCTACAATGAGTATGTGTTACATTAATTGGCATTTACCAAGACTCTACAATGAGTATATGTTATATTCATTGGCATCGACCACAATTCTACAATGAGTATATGTTATATTCATTGGCATCGACCAACACTCTGCAATGAGTATGTTTTACGTTCATTTGCATTGACCAACATTCTACAATGAGTATATGTTATATTCATTGATATCAACCAACATTCTACAATGAGTATGTTTTACGTTCATTTGCATTGACCAAAACTCTAGAATGAGTATTTGTTATATTCATTTTCATTGACGAACACTCTACAATGAGTATATGTTATATTCATTGGTATTGACCAACACCCTACAATGAGTATATGTTATATTCATTGGTATTGACCAACACCTTACAATGAGTATATGTTATATTCATTGGTATTGACCAACACTCTACAATGAGTATATGTTATATTCATTTTCATCGACCAACATTCTACAATGAGTATGTGTTACATTCATTGGCATTGACCAACACTTTACAATGAGTATATGTTATATTCATTGGTATTGACCAACACTTTACAATGAGTATATGTTATATTCATATCATACTCAAAAACATTTTACAGTGAGTGGGTGTAACATTCATATCATATACAAACACTTACTGTAACTGTACAACAAATCTATTCATTATCACTGACCTTCCAACTAAAGCGTATAAATGTTATATTCGTCATCACAGACTAGACAGTTACAGCGAGTGTGTTTTTCATTCATTATCATTGACCTGCTGCCTACCATTGAGTGCATGTTACATTTATTATCACTAACTAATATGCAATATATTATATCCATAAAAAGAATAAACTAACTAAAATGAATATGGCTATTTCCGTTTGTAGTCAGATACAATGTATAATTGAATTATTGGTATGTAGTCGGCTAAAATTGGTATAATATATATTTGCAACAAGCAAAAAAAAATATATTTTATAAAATATAATTTATTTTGCATAATTTCCAAGTAGCCACATAAATTGAATATATAATTTATTTTGCATAATTGCCAAGTAGCCACATAAAATGAATATAATTTATTTTGCATAATTTCCAAGTAGCCACATAAAATGAATATAATTTATTTTGCATAATTTCCAAGTAGCCACATAAATCGAATATAGTTCATTTTGCATAATTTCCAAGTAGCCACATAAATCGAATATAGTTCATTTTGCATAATTTCCAAGTAGCCACATAAATCGAATATAGTTCATTTTGCATAATTTCCAAGTAGCCACATAAATCGAATATAGTTCATTTTGCATAATTTCCAAGTAGCCACATAAATCGAATATAGTTCATTTTGCATAATTTCCAAGTAGCCACATAAAATGAATATAATCAAGTAGCCACATAAATCGAATATAGTTCATTTTGCATAATTTCCAAGTAGCCACATAAAATGAATATAATTTATTT